GGGTTTGTGCTTAACTTCCAACCCTGAATGACTGAGGGTGGGGGAGGGACAACGGCAACGTGGTCTCCAGTCCCGGCAGGGCCTAAACCACTACAATAGTATATCTGAAGGCTTACAGTCTATTTTAGAGCTTCAAATCGTTGTAGATTTGTTTATGTATAGCTTACAAATAGTGTGGAACAGATCACCAAGAGGCAGCTTCCAAAAGGAGAGTATACATACTGTGCTCTTTGAAAATGTGGGATATGTGAATGTCCAGGAAATTGGGTCTTCATCCTGGTTTGTAAGGGTGAAAAATGTCGCTTCTTGAGTCTCCCACACCACTGTTCCCCTTTTGTGGTACTGTTCATGTAAGAGAACAGTGAAGGAACTGCTTCCACAAAGAGACTGCTTTTATCCCCCTTTACATTAAGCATACAAGGACGGAAAGAATTTTTTTCCCCTTCCAACTAGTCTATGTAATATCTAATGGAATATATATTCTGATCACCACATATGTCAGTATCTTTTAGTAAGGAATTACTAAGAAGTATTATTTTCCAGTTGAGCATGTAGTCACTGTTATGTTACAAGTGCAGTCTGGAATGGGATCTCCACACTTTTATGGCAAAGATGAATAATGTTTCTCATTTTAAGAGAACTTTTGGTTGTATTTGGTGGGCCACACACTAATAATGCATGTCTTGTTTCCCCAGTCTCTGTTCCACAGTGCTCTCCATCACTCTTACACAATTTTCGGCACCATCCTATACTATTTAATGCTCAGCCATTTCACAGTGAACATTACTACTCAGTCCAGCATCTCCCACTGCTAGGTGTTTCTTTAGTGCTCCATACTGCACAGCACTGTGCTGCTTAGCACATCCCATCCCAATATACAGATTATTTCTCATTATTAGTACCACAGTGGTGCAGAGTGCTCCCCTGAAAATGGCATGTTCATGTTGAAGGGCTTATCCCTGACTCTACTTTCACACTAATTTCATTTAGATGGGGAGAGTCAGTCCATGCCATTCTTGGCTAATAAAAGAAAATAGCCCCATGAGACATTTAGATTCTTCTGCTGCTGTCATTTCAGGGCAATTTATTGGTACAATTATTATGCACTAATAGTAAGTGAGCTACTAACTAACTTGGAGTTGTTTGCATGGACGAAGCATACCCAGGTATCTTTAGGCTTTCATTCTTCTGCTTAAAAAATGAAATATATGGAAAACTTTATCTAATGTTCACTTAAATTCAAGGCCTTTAAAAAAATTCCATCTTTGATTATTAATCTTCGATGGGTTAGTATTTCTATGAAATATGGTGTTATGTAAGTTTTCCACGTTTTATTTCAGGCAGTTATCTTTGCAAGATAATCATGTGAAGTATAGAATTGATTTCTCTTCTTGGTCATCATTTTCTTTAACTGTGGACATTTTTGAGCTTACAAATCATTCTGAAGTGGTTGGTTTAGAATGAAGGGTTTAGCACTTTTTTTTCCATAGTTTGGCATCTTGGCATAAGTGTTATATGTGCTTTATTTAGTTTTATGACTGTTATGATCATAGTCTCAGATTTTACTCTGAACTCCCTTTTACTAGTATCATATATATAGAATCTTTCATTGTTGGTGTCTACATCCACTAGTTCTAGATCTTTCATATGATTACAGGTAAATTTTACATTAACTATCACGTAATTCATTGGTGCATGTGTCCTCCCTGAATGTGGGACTGAATCAAATACTTTCATGTAGTCCAGCCAAATTATGTTAGATTCCTTGTTAGTTAACATTCTTTGTAGACTTTTCAATAAGAATTTGACCCTCTGTTCCTCTCTTTTTTTGTTTTAAAATCCTTCTGCTGTCAACCAGTGAAATACCAGAGGTTACTGTTGGGTGATGAAGTCAGTATTAGCAGTTCCCAAGTGAATTGGAAGATGGAAACTTTTGAAGGCTCTTACCTTTCTTTAATTTCTTAGTATTATTATTAGTTAACAATAGGTTTTACAGTAAGTATTTGGCAGTATTTTGCTCCCATCACTGTCCTTGATGTTTACATGGCCTTTCTCAATTTTGTCTGTATTGTAATTGTGCAAAACCAACATTCTGGTTCGTGCTTGTAAAGCTCTCAAACATCGAGGCTCTGGCTGTAGTTGGAACGTATAGGCACTGCTTAATTGCAAATGACAAACAATGCCTTTTTAAATTAGGGATTCTTGCATAAAAACATTGCTCTGATTTTAGCTTTGCAGTACTAAGTGATGCCATGTGCCTAGATAGGTCTTTTGAGAAGGAGCGCAAAGCTGTGGAAAAGACAGCTCTTCCACTAAGCAAATTACTCTTAATCAGAGCCTAGTTTCCATATTAGAATAATTTTTGTCTTCTTTCTAGTTGCAATTGTCTCTGAGATTCTCCGGTCTGTGCCTCTTACTGTGATTACAAACCAGAACCAACCACACCCTTGAGTTCTCAGCCATTTTGTTTCTAGAGCCCTCATTTACTTATTCGGCTCATGCAAGATGTTTAACTTGTAGTCAGTGAGACAGGCAGCTCCTCTGTACACATTGTCTATTTGCCCATCAAAACCAATCAACAAAAGCTTTCTTTTCCCTCACCCATCTTTTTGTTTTGTGCTAGGTTTTAATTATGATTTGTCCTTACGTAGGATCATAGAATCATTTAAGTTGGAAAAGACCTTTAAGATCATCAAGTCCAACCGTTAACCTAACACTGCCAAGACCACATGGCTGGGTTGGAGGGGTTTGTCATTGTCAGAACATACTAGTGTTCCCTAATTTCTGCTGAAGTCATCTCTGTCATGTATTAATCTCAGATGACTTTTTCAATTTCTGTGCCAAATTATTTTCCACTGTTTATCAAAAAATGGTAATGTGAGGCTTCCTTCATTCTAAAATTACCTAGCTATAATCAACTTGCAATTACCTTTTCTCATTCTATTCTGGTGCATGTTGTGCTGTAAATGTAGAGATAGCCTGGGTTAAACAATGTTGCTGATTAATTGTCATACAGTGCTACTTTTAACACTCTTTCCTACAGCATGGAGCAGAAGTAATAGTCCCAGTTGTGTCTGGTTTAGCTTGTCTACATGCTAGAGAAGTCAGAAGCTAGTCCCAGCCAGACCACTGGCTGCTTGTCAGTACAGCATAGTTGCCTCTGCAGTAAATTTCAGTACGCACTGAAGTTTTCTGGGCCCATCTCAAGTCTGTCATGGAGAAAATCAAGCTGGAGTAATTAGTTCTGAAATAAGTGTTACAAAAGCTACACAGTTATTGATGTTTAGGGTTGCACTAGAGCTTATGTTTGGACACAGTGCTAAACCCAGACTATCTCCATGTGGTTTTGTCACAGCAGGCCAGAATTTACAAGCCCTCTTGGCACCTGGTGTTGTAGAAAGTGCAATGCAGAGGCTGAGCTGGACTGGCAGAATGAGTGCTTACCCAGAACTGATTAATTCTGGGTAAATACTTCTGCTCTGTATTTTTAAGTGCACTCCACAGTACCTGTAAATGTTAGGGCTTATTCATTAGTTGCAGTGTACAGTATCTCAGCTAGAAGAGGACTAACTATAATGAGAGACCACAGAAATCCAAACCAGTAAGCTATACATTTAATCATCTCTGAAACAGATCTAGAGACTTGCATCTCTACAGTGGGCACAAAATAACAATTGTCATTAATATTTGGTATACCGGTACCAGGCCATTTGCCATGGTCTGTGAGTATCAAAAGTGGCCTGTGTTACATACTAGTCAGTATGCCAATTAGATGCAAATCAAACAACTGTTCTAGAACAGCGTAGTATTTACTGGGTAGAAATGCATCAACAATAGGTCAATAATAGATGTCTGGAAGGACTCGCAGGACTAGCATTAGAGTAGTAGTGAAGCAGGAGGTACAGAGCAGTGGTTGAGCAAGGATCATGAGAGTATTAAGTATGGATACTGGAGCTTGCAAGAAGTCACTGGTACTGCAGGGCAGCTTAGAATTAAGACACTTAAACTGCAGTCATTGGGGAAGGATTGTGAATTTAGATTAAGGGACATGCAAGAAGAGTTTTGATACTCAGCAGTGTCTGATACTCTCCTGTCTTAGTTCCTCCCTAGTGGGTCTCTTGGATATTGGACTACGTTGGTGTCTGTTATCTGTGAAACAGAGAGGATGGATAGAAGAGCTAGAGCAAAGTTAGTGTCTCTTGTGTGGCTTCCACAGAGATGAAAAGAAGTACCTTTTCTTTAAATCAAAAACCCTGGCTGCCATTAGTGTAAGATCTTCAGATTACATGGAAACGTTTAGTCATTTTACAAGGTCAAAGCAGGAACCTGGCAATATGCACAAGTTGTTACACTCATATAGCATGTACACCATTTCAGAAGTCCAGCTATGTCCCCCTACAAATATATCAGTGCAAGGAAATTTGGAGCATATGTGCTGGCAAAAACAAGCAGTTACCAAAGATGCTAGGGGTTTCTAGACTTTCTACTCTGAAGGTTTAGATTCCGCATTGTATAACAAAGTTGTGGCTTGTTTCAAACTGTGAGTCACTTTTCTTGCTGAAATGTGCCCTTCACAAATTACCTTTCAATGGCAGAACAATCCACAGGTTATTTTTAGTGATTTTTGTTTTGTTTTGCCTTTCCTGGCAAAGTAACCAGGTATTTCATAATAAAGTTACAAATAAATTGTTAAAATTTCTTTTAAAGGAAAAAATCTGATCACAGTACAGTTTTACGCAGCCTTTTTGGTTTTGTTATTTCTTTCTTTACTGTCTCATATGATTTTTGTTCTCCTTTCCCACAGAGTGCTTGTTGTGACATTCCTGTCTTATCAGTATGTTTCATCATCTTTTTAAAAGTAACCTGTATTAAAAATTAAGAATATCACCAGTGTGTACCAACTTCTTAAGTGTTATTTAAAGTCACCTTCCTGCTGATTGGTTTATCCAAAATAGTTATGAGCTGAGCTGTGAAAAGATGTTTTCTTTTTCTTCTTGCAGGCTGCAAATGATAACATGCATACAGACGATGAGCGTGAACTCAGAAGAGATAAAGAAAGCTATCTCTGCGCAGTGTGCCTGGATGTTTATTTCAATCCTTACATGTGCTATCCATGTCACCATATCTTTTGTGAACCTTGCTTAAGGATGCTTGCCAAAGACAATCCAGCCAGCACTCCATGTCCACTGTGTCGTGCTACAATTGCCCGAGTCTTTTTCCAAACAGGTATAAAAATTAAAGTTTTTACAATACAGTTTTTATTCTCTCACCTCTAGTGTTCCTGACTTGTATTAGTAGGAAAACATGGTGGGTAAGGGGTGTTTGGTGTCAGAATGGGTACAGGGATAGAAGAGGGTAAGTAGTGCTGTAGATAGGTTACCTGGAACAACGTAAGTCAGCCTTTTACGCCTGAAGCTTAAAAAGGTAAATTCAAGCACCATGAATAAAACTGCACTATGAGATCTGGAGCTAGGCCCTTAACAGCACTTAAAAATGTGGATAGACTGGTCACAAAGTAATATAAATGACTAAGCCATGCAGGAGTGTTTGTTTATTTTTGCATGCTGCAGAGATCTTGCAACAATCCTCTTTAAACTGAGAGAGTGCTGTGATGATGACAGGTTGAGGGTGCAGATTAAAGTATGATTTCACACTGATCAGCAGAGTTGCCCAGCTTCTATTTCTGGTTATGCACAGACTCTTCCTCTGCACAGGCACAACTTTGTATAATTTGACGGCAGACCAGTTAGAGGCACTTATTGGGCTAAATATAAGAACTCATTTGGGTGAGAAGGAAGCATTTTTCAGATATTTTTCAGACAAACTAGTTGCCCCAGATTGGTTCACTGGAGAGCTGCTGGTGGCCAAAGATAGAGACTATGTCAGCACTGCAGCAAAGAAAATGGATGGAAAGCTTCAGCCTCAGTTCACATTTCATTTGCTTAATGTTTGATGTTCCTTTGGATTTGATGTATAGGTGAAGTGTGTCTCACCAATAGAGAATTACTTTTTATTGTTTTAGGGATATTTAAATTTTTTAAAAGGCATTTAACAGATTTGTTGCAGTAAAATACTGCTGGGAGAGCACAAAGAGAGTAGATACTTGCTAAATTGTATTTGCAGAACTTTTCAACACATTTAAAGTCCTGTCATTTAAATGAAATATTACCATGATTATTTGTAGACTTTAAGTACTTAATATACAATGTGTAAAAATACCTCATGGGAGGGAATGAAGAAGAGGGAACCAGACTCTTCACAGTGATGCCCACTGACAAGACAAGAGGCAGTGGGCAAAAATTGAAACGCATGAAATTCCATCTGAACACAAGAAAACACTTTTTTCCTGTGAGTGTGATCAAAGAGGTTTCCCAGAAAGGCTGTGGAGTCTCCATCTGTGGAGATAATCAGACCCCAACCAGACACACTCCTGGGCAACCCACTCTAGCTGACCTTGCTTGAGCAGGATGCATTGGATTTGTTGATCTCAAGACATCCTTTCCAACCTAACCCGTTCTGTGAAAATACTGAAAAGGTATGTAGTTTTTTTGAGGAAAAGGATTTGTGTGGCTAAAGTGTAAATACAGTGTCATAAATATGTAAATTGAGACTCTACTGTGAATAGAGAGCTATAACAGTACATGAAGATGTGTTTAGTATTAAAACTTTAGATGAGATAAATCCATATGCCCTTACAGCAGCTTTTTGTTACTGCTATTTGGTATGTAGCAATATATGCTTGACTTAGCAGTATATTTGAAAATAGATGCACTAAATTTACTTTAGTTTATTATACATGTACTAAGAAAAATATTTTTGTACTTTCTCAGTGCATAAGGTATTGAGCACCTTTTAAATTTATGAAAAAATATTGATGATGATATCATATCCTGAGAGAAATTAGTAAAATCAACACTTTAAGAAAGATGAATGGTGCCAGACCAATATAAGGGGTACTAAATATTTTTTTTATTCAGGAGATTTATTAAGGCTTTTAAAAGTTACACTAAAGTCACTGCTGCTGTAGGTTTGTGCAGTCAGCAAAGCAAAAGTTGTTAGTATTCTTTATATATTTCTCTAATGCTACAGCTGGGTTGTCTTATTTTACTCACTTATTCTGGATATTTTCTGCAGCTTTCCTTCTGTATAACTGCATTTTATTTTACAAGGGCATATCAAAAAGGAAACATTTAAGGGTATATTCAGAAGTTCACTTTTTAGCTTGTACAGTTTTGCAAACTGAACATAACTGGAACAGAAGAATGCATGTAACATGTCAAAAAAAGATGAAGGATAACTGGTCAATTATCCACCAATTATGAAGAAAATGAATGCTTAACCCAGAGCTACAAAGCTGGATTTGACCCATGAGGATACTTCATCTGGCCTGATCAAGTGAGGCTTTTCCACTGGTTCCTTTGAGAGTGAACTCTAGTCCAGATAGGTTGGTCTGATGGTGTCTGCCATACATTCCCATCTTTCTTAAAGGCTTTGTTAAAAGCCCTTCTCCCATCAGGATATACTGACATCTGGGGGGCCCAGGATCCAAGTTACTTTGTCTTTTGATTGCCTGTCCTATCAGGGGAAAGTGAGCAGGTGTTGGCTTCTGTGCTTCCATTCATCTAAACTTTCATTTATGTTGTGTGGCCAAGAAGGGACAGATATGGCACTCATAAAATAAATCCAGCACTTTGGAGAAATGCAGCTTCAGCATAGTGCTTGTGCATGGGAGATCAAATACGTGTCAGGGAAAGGGTCACATACAGAAAGACAGGTGGCCTGGCTAGCCTGAAAGGATCTTTCATTAAAAGCCTAACCAAGTAAGAGTTACCACCACTGCCTTTTCTGAAAAACACAAATTAGATGCCTCACCAGAGATTTCAGTGTTCAAATTTGAACAATAAAGTTGAAAGAACTGAGCTGATTTTTATAGTCTGTAGAAAGAAACTAAAATATTCTCTGTTGATGCTGTGAGAGGCAAGCAGAGTCTCATCAGAAGCTGTTTCTCTGAATCTGAATCTACTTAATCCAAATGCGTTCAGCAGCATATAAAGCTCTTACATAAAAATTTAAAACTGCTAGTGAAAAATAGACAGCTTGTTCCTTTTACATTTAGGAGAGAAAATGGCCTCTTTCCCTTCACCAACAGAGGTTTATGGGTGCAGTAGCACTGTTCTCACATAATGAGACAGAAGGATTTGGAGGTTTCTGTACTCTACATGTGTTGTGTAGCCTCATTCCACCTGTGTTCTGACATGGTGAAATACAGAGTAATTTTTAGAGTAAGACCAGCATATTGGTTTTGCTTCAAATCTGCTAATGCCTTCCTCTTACATAAAGGGCATTTGGAATGTTTTCTTCCTTCTGAAGCCTGCTCACAAAAAACTTAGCTTTCTCAAATTTGCCAGAGAAAAAGATTTGATCTTTCCATTAAATCTTGCTTATTGAAAAAGTATGTACTATTACAGTGAACCAGGTAATAATAATCCATAAGCCTTTTCAAAGATCTGTGAAGGACCTTTCTTTCTTTTAAAGTACAGAAAGAATTATGGTAGCAGCTGCTATAATTAGTATTTATCTGGAGCCATGGTGGTTTGAAGGGCCAAAATGGGGGGGTTTCAAAGTTTTCCCTGTTAACTACTAGCTTAGCAACTCCGTCTGTTACCAGCAGATCACTTCCTTTCTGTGGTAGGAACATATGGTTATTTTTAAATTGTTTTCCATTGTTGTATTGCTATGGATAGGTTAGTTTTGACAGTTTTGAGTTGCAGTCCATGTAGATATTTCCTGAAACGATATCCTGAGAAGATGATGATTTTTTGAGATTAATATGTTATGTCAACTCTTGCAATATGTCATTACTCATTCTACAAATGTGTTCTTAATTCCTGTTAATCCTCAACATTTTAAAAATCTCCAAAAAAAGTTTCAGACTCTTCCCCTCTCATTACATTACTGACTGATGGTGTTAAACAAAAACCAATATGAACTGAGAATTAATACCACAGTCATTTTGACAGATGTCATTCATAGAGACCATCATAGTTCTGTAAGTTAAATAGCCTGATTTATTATGTACTGATTTATTATGTACTTCACCTTGCTAGATTTTTACATCATCTTTCCTAAATGCTTTTTTTCAGAGGAATAGAGTCAAAAGGGCATGTTTAAGACTTGTTCTTGATATATCTGGAAATGCTTTGGTTTATGTGATTTTAAAACAGTTTAAGAGATGTTATAATCAGAAAAAGCATTGCACAGTAGATAAGGCATTTTTATTCTGTAGTATAAATGTATGGAAATTATTGCTGTATTTACAGCATTGATGTATACCTTCTTTCCCATTAATTATTGTAGAACTGAACAACTCTACCAAATCTTTTTTCCCCATGGAATATTTGAAGTTAAAAGAAAATTTTCAAAAATCAAATTCTGCAAAATGGCCTCTGCCAAGCTGCAAGAAAGCCTTCAGAGTTTTTGAAGGTAAGTTTTTAAATTTTTCCCTAAACTTCACTCATCTTGAGTACAGTAGTTGAAAATAAGTCTCTAGCTAATACATGACACAGGAGATCAGACATGGATGATTATTAAAGTAGAGCTGATTTAAATTCTCCTGGGTGACTCATACAGAGTGCTCTGAATCTAAAGATAAACTGCAAATTGTAAAAAGACAATTTGTGTGTGTACCTTTTTATATATTCTTAAATCTTTAATTTTGTGCACATTATCAGGATAATTGTATGTAGTTTCCTGCTTGGAAAAAAAATGTGTCTGCATAGTGGAATAAAGAAAATTACTCAGGGAAAAAAAGTTACTAGTTCTGAGTGTGGTCAATAAAGACTTCTCAAAAAAAACATCAGAATCAGTCTTTTATGAAAGAAGTCATACAAAAAAAGAGAGGAATGTCATCTCTTATTCTCTATTGTTTGTTTTATACATATGAAATGAAGTAAAGGGTGTGGGTGTTTTAGCTTTATTTTCTGCTTAGTATATGAAGAAAGCTTAGTCTTCTTGTTGCTGCTTTAACATTTAAACATCTTCATGGTTATTAACTGGTTGTTAACTGAAAAACATTTAAGTTAGGCCACTGAAATGTGGTATCTGCTGTTTACCCATGTCTCCCTGTTTTCAGTCTAATGGCCTTTCTTCACCAGGCCTCATCTACGTTTACTTGTATAGTTACTTTCTTTACTGATGAGTCTTGATAACAGATATATTTTTCCTGTTTGTAAGGACAATATAGATTGCTTCTAAAAGTATGTGGAAAAAAATAAACCAGGACATCCTTTTTATATTCTTTTTGTGAGTCTACCCAGGCTTTTCTACAGGTCAAATTTAATAAGTTCTGGTCCTCCGCTTGCAAAACTGTTTCACAGAAGGTCATGATTTGATACTGAAAATAAGAAATGTTCCTAGCTATCAAAAATGAGCAGACTTGAGAAGTTTGAGGACCGGTGTATCATCTTTGGTATTACTCAGAGGGGAAGCTGTTGGCAGAAAAAACAAAGATGCATATTTCTTTTCTCTAACAGCAGTTAATGTAGTGTGGATGTTGATGCTGAGCTTATTGGTTTATTGTAATACATGACTTTATGTATGTGATAGAGTTCATATATGTTCCATAGTGTCATATGAATTATGTGTTTCATAAATATGAAATTTACCATGCTGAGATTTGTACAAAACAAATAATTAAAAATAAAAGAAAGATCTGGAGAGGTCATACAGCTTCATTATCGTGCTACCTGAATATTGGACATGTCGTTCTATGAAGGTAATTCAGAATGCTGGATTTACATGTCTCCAAATGATAGCCTAAAAGTCCCACATCGAATGGAAACATGATTAAATCTAGTTAATAGGAAACCTGAACAACTGAAACTTTGTCTTTTTAAATACAAGTGTCACTGCAGTGTCTCTCTTTTCTGAGTTTTTATTTTAATAAAAGCTACTTCAGGGTTTGTGTCAGTTCAAAACACGAGTGTATAATATTTTCTCCCTGGATTGCTTTTCTGGGCTTATATCTAAATTGTGCTTGGCAGCATCTAAAGTTCCATATTTGCATCCTGCCTCAGGAGGCTTCTGAGAACTTTACAGGGGTATAAGACTGAACATAGTGGAGTAAAAGACTTCTGACACTGTAATATATGCCCTTTCAAATGCAAACCCTAATACCACTGAGAGCAGTAGGGGAAGGAGGCTAATTAGATTAATTTTTGTTTAATTAGGAAGGTAACAGTCTAATAAGATGTTAGAGTTGCACAAAGCAAAATGTAAAGAATGGAAGAACAAAAGAGTGGCTACATGAGTAGAGTGACTGGAGTGAAAAGGGATGTGATTACAGTGCTTAGAAAGCAATGAAAACATGCAAGTTTGAATGTGAGAATAACTGCTTCTTTATAAGACAACATCTGTGGCCCTGTTAGAAATATGTATGCTCTTTTGTCTAGTTCATATCCAGCAGGTTCAGTGGTCACTGAGAATCTAGCAGCTGTTTTCAAACATTGTATCATTCCAGTTCTCCATTTGACAAAAACTTTTCCGCAATCTTATTTTAATACTCCAGACATAAAAATAATAAACTTTAAAGAGTAAACCACTCCTTAGAGATGCTAGACCTGATGAAATCAGACCTCACAATTAGATTGGATGCAAGGAGAGAAGGATGTTGAGAAGCCTAGATTTTATAGAAGATTTGCCAGTTTGTACTAATTTACTTTCTGAACATTGCAGGACTGGTAGATAAAATCAAGTGTCTTTTCTTTTTCATTACTGTTTTTCCTGAATTGATGCACTGATCCCAAAAGATTTTGTAATCAATAGAGACTCTTCTTTCACATGAGAATTTCCATGGGGAATGTAAAATTAGCTTGTAGCTAAAAAAAAAACAAAAAAAAACACCCCAAAATCAAAAAACCCCAAACATCCATAGCTTTTGAGTTTCTTTACAAAAAGTAAGAAACCTTAGCACTTTTGTGCTTTCAAGCTGATGAAAATTGCTCCAGAATAGTTTGTCCTTATACTACACTGTAATTGTTTCCAATTAAAATCATTAACAGAATTCCATTGTTTCATAAACATTACAAGTGGCATTGTTTTGTCTATGATATGCTTTGTTTGGTCAAGGATCAGTTAATGATAAAATGGAGATGCAATTCAAGAAGGAAAGCCAATCTTCTTTTACTATTCAGATTTTTAATATATGTGAAAGTTAACAAGCTAATTTTAAATATTCCTCTAAAATCTCTTGTTTTATATGAGATTAATAAAGATACTACATTAGTTACTATTTTTAGTATTGGTAACTTTTAAAAAATGTAATTGCACAATAGAAATAACATCTCAAACAATGGTTTCCTTAAATAGATTTTAAAATATTTAAATGATGTAGTTTAAATATGATAGTTAAATAGCAAATATGCTCAACTGGATCCTTCTACATATTCGTAGTTTAATAACATCGTAAGTGTAGCCCTTGCATGCCATGAAATTGGATTAGACTTGAGGACATTAAATTGCATTCTATAAATGCTGTACAGTCACAGAAAGTTCACAAACTAAGCGTAAGTCTCCATAAATAATTTTATATCAGAAATGTGGACTAAAAGAAGTGAAAAAGATAATTTAAATTGAAAATACAGTACTTAATTTAACAGTGACTCTGGTGTAGTTAAATACAGAAATTAAAAAAAATAGACTGAGAGTTAGTGCACTGGACCTAAAAGGATTATTTCAGAAGCTTTTACATAAATCTGTGATAGAAATACATTGAAGAGTCCAAAGATACAGAACAGAGTAATCAAGATAGTGATGGTAATGTAAAAGGATGTTGGCTGGCTGCTTATAGAGGAAGATGCAGATATGCCTGAGAATAAGTACATAGCTAGGTGTACGGAATGAGTCGGGGGGAAGGGGAGGTTTGTGAAACCTCAGAGTTACAACCCTTGGTGACTATTTCAAGATATAATTATTCCTAGGCTAATAGGAAGTTCCCTCCAACTGTTTTTAAGCTCATGTTTTTATTTAAAATGTGATAATTAAACAAAGTGAGAAAGCCTATTTAGAAAGAGTAATTATTTTTATCTGGGTTTTTTTAAATCCTTAATCTAGAAAACATTTCCTCGATATCACAGACAACCAATTCTATGCTAGTTCTTTACTGATCTCGTCTGTTTAGTGACTTAATAAAAAGCTGTTGGCTTCTGCACCAGTCAGGGTTTGCAAGATACAGTGTTTTCAACATCTGCTAATACTAGTAGAAATTTCCACCACATATGCCATGTCCTTTTGTGGAATCATTCTCTAGAGAAAAGGGGTGCGCAATTTCCTACTTTATTTTTTAAAAAAGAAATGTTGTGAAACCTTTTAATAATAATTGTCGGTGCATTTTTGTATCTTTCTGTCTTTAAAATTGGGGTGCAACACTTTAAAATCTACTTTCCTCATTCAAGGTTCTTGTTAACATGATTTCAGTTAGATAAGCAATAAAGGAAAGATATTATCAACTGTGAAAATATACAGCTATAAAGTTACCTCAGCTAGATTTCAAGTTCATAATTCTCTGTTTAAAAGAAGAAAAAAGTGATACTGGTTTTCAAGTTTCTGATGCTGTGATCTACTGAGAAGAGAAACAAGATAGGTGTTCCTAAAAATAGAATGTGTAGCATTGATTTTATGTATTTTTTCAAGAGTAATGCTGGAGTATAAGTCATCTCTCAGAATAATGTTTATACTGAGCTATTTTTCCCAAGTCCTACAATTATATCCTTCCTTACTGTACTTTTTCAGTTAATTTCCTTACTTCCTCATTCCTTTGTTTTAAGTTGTTCCTTTATTATACTACTCAAGACTGCAGTTGTGGGACCATGCAATGCTTCTTCACCAGAATGATTTCCTTTTTTAGTCAGGATACTTCAAATCATTCAGTATATCTTGTGGAATCACAAAAAGCTAATGTGCACACGTGCATTTCTCACAAGATGAATCACAGAATCATCTAGGTTGGAAAAGACTTTGAAGATCACCTAGTCCACCTATTAACCTCCCACTGAGAGTTCTCAACTACACCAAATCCCTCAGCGCTATGTCAACCCAACACCTCCAGGGATGGGGACTTCACCTCCCTGGGCAGCCCATTCCAATGCCTAACAACTCATTCTGTAAAGGAATGCTTCCTAATATCCAGTTTAAACCTTCCCTGGCACTACTTGAGGCCATTACCTCTTGTCCTGTCAGTGCATTTACAGTCTGCACAGTATCTGAATTTTCTGCCTCAAGGAGACACACATTACTGGGAAGTGTTGTCTTTGAGCATCTGTTAGGTGTATAGTATACTCAGACAAAACACGGAATCCAAGCGCTGTTGGTTGAGTGTGTCTCAGGTCAGCTGCACTGACTGAAACTTTGTCATTTTGCTGATTTGTCAGCACTTGCACCCTAACACTCGCACCTGTTTTCATTACCCACAAGTTCTTTCAGCTCCA